TTTCAAGAAACTTATATTTCAAGAGGGAAATCAAATGGCAATAAGCCAAAATACACTGAAAGAGATGTGTGCTTATGTAATATTTTGCCTATGTAATATTTGCACTATAAATTATATAAAATGCATGTTAAGTGTTAGTTTGGGGAGGAATATGATTCTCTTTACCACAGGTTATTAGAGAACTAGATTGCTCCATGAAAAAATGAGCATAAAATATATAAGCACTTGTAGGAGAAAAGGCAAGCACCTACACCAGCTATGTAGGATGAGACTCACCAAATGCTTTAACAAATCTAAAGAATGTGTTAGTCATAAATCGACTGGTCAGCCAACAAAGCAGAAAAAAAGGAGCATAAAAAGATTGGCTGTACCAGTGAAAGAACTGGAGCTGAAATTATCAGGTGATTATAAGCTTCCCTGAAAGAAGGGAGCTGGAATTATCAGGTGATTGTAAGCTCACAGTAGTTTTCAACCTTGGCTGACATCAGAATCATCCCAAGAGCTCTTGAAAATCCCAGTGCACTTACTGCCCCCCTCAGACCAAATTACATCACAACCTTTGGGAGTGAGACCTGGCCCCAAGTAATTCCCATGTGGGCTCCTAGTTTAAGGCACTGTCTCCTCTAATGTAACCATGAAAGTCATGGCTACCACACTTCTCAGACTGTGGTCCCAATGCTGGATCATTCATGGCCACGAGATAAAGGTACTGGTGGTCTTAGGCTGATACTATTGGATATTTCAGTCATCTAGCCTTCTAGTGATGATTCCATATGTATCAATTCACCTTTTGATTATCATGCAGCATGACCACAGGGGAAGAATTGATCATGTTGACTTGAGTATTTACGGTCTTCATGATAGTTATGTTTCTAATTATAAATGTGATAGAGACAAGGTTAATTAATAAATGAGGATTTTCATTTCCTCCTCATCCTCACTTCATTGAAGAGATCTTTGCTTTCAGTAGTCTTATTTCTAGGCTTTTTGTGTTATAAAATCTGAAGACTGCACAGATAAAAATGGTCTTAGAAAAAGAACAACTTTACAGTGGACAAATCTGGCAAACACTACCTTAGCCAGGTAATCAAGATAATAAGACATATGGATTGCATGGGTTCTTACTTTGATGTAATAAAAATGATAAAATGATAAAAATGATACTTTACTTCTTTAGCCTTTCCCACAAAAACCCATAACTCTACACTTATCACAAAAACATGAGATGGCCCCAACTGAGGGACATCCTACAAAATACATGAGCTTGTCAAAACTATCAAAATCATCAAAAACAAGGAAAGTCTAAATCTCAGTCCATAGCCTAAGAAGACATGATGACTAAATGTAGTGCAGTATCCTGGATGGGATTCTGGAATAATATAAAGATGTTAAGTGAAAACTGAAGAAATCTGAATAAAGTACAGTTTTTAGTTAATAATAATGGATCAATACTAGTTCATTAGTTGTGGCAGACATACCAGGAAATTAACAGTAGGGGAAACTGGGTATGGAGTATAGAGAAAATCTCTATAATACCTTTATAACTCTTCTGTAAATCTAAAACTATTCTAAAATAACAAGTTTATTTAAAATAGTATTGAAATTAACTGAAATTGGATCATAGACCTGAATGTAAAATACAACATATAAAACACCTAGAAGATAACATAGGAGAAAATCTAGATGACCTTGACTATGGTGACAACTTTTAGATACAACACCAAAGTCAAATTCATGAAAGAAGTAATTGATAAGCTGGACTTCATTAAAATTAAAAACTTCTGCACTGTGAAAGACACTGTCAAGAGAATGAGAAAGCAAGCCACAGACTGGGGGAAAATATTTGCAAAAGATATATCTGCTAAAGGGCTAGGATCCAAAGTATACAAAGACCTCTTAAAGCTCAATAATAAGAAAACAACGCAAATAAAAAAGAAATGAGAAAAGATTTATGTTAGTCCATCTGGGCTGCCATAACCAAATATTATACATTAGGTGTCTTATAACAACAAAAGTTTATTTCTCATAATTCTGGAGACTGGGAAGTGCTAGATCAAGTCCCCAGCAGATTTGGTGTCTGGTGAGGACTTATTTCCTAGTACCATTTTTCACTGTGCCCTCATAAGGCAAGGAAGGGGAAAAGAATCTCTCTTCTCTAGGGGTTCCTTTTATAGGGCACTAATTCCATTCATGAGCACTCCACATTCATGACCTAATCACCTCTCAAAGGCCTCACCTCCTATTATCATCACCCTGCCAGTTAGAATTTCAACATAGGAATTTTGGAGGGGACATAAACCCTTAGTCCATTGCAAGACCTAAACAGACATCTCACCAAAGATGATACACATGCAGATGGCAAATGAGCATATAAGAAGATGCTCAGTATCATATATCATTAGGGAATTGTAAATTAAAACAAGGAGCTACAACTATACACCTATTAGAATGGCCAAAATTCAAAACACTGACAACACCAAATGCTAGTGAGGATGTGGAGCAATTGGAAACTTATTCATTGCTGGTGAAATGCAAAATGGTACCACCACTTTGGAAGACAGTTTGGTGATCTCTTACAAAACTAAACATACTTTTACTATATGATCCACCAATTGAGCTCCTTGGTATTTACAAAAATGAATTGAAAACTTATGTACTCAAATGTTTATAGTAGCTTTATTCATGTTGCCAAAACTTGGAAGCACCCAGGATGTCCTTTAGTAGATGAATGGATAAATAAACTGTGGTGCAATCAGACAATGGAAAATGTTATTCAGCATTAAAAAAGAAATGAGCAATCAAGCCATGAAAAGACATGGAGGAAACTTAAATGGATATTACTAAGTACAAGAAGTCCATGTGAAAAGGCTACATACTGTATGATTCCAACTATATGGTACTCTGGGAAAGACAAAACTATAGAGACAGTAAAAAGATCACTTTTGCCAGGGGTTTGAGAGGAGGGAGGGAGGTGGAGCACAGAGGGTTTTTAGGGCAGTGAAACTACTCTGGATGATACTATAATGGTGGAGACATGTCATTAAACATTTCTCAAAACCTAAAGAATGTACAACACCATGAGTGAACCACACAGTACACCATGAACTTTGAATGATAATGATTGTCAGTGTAGCTTCATTTATTGTGACAAATGTACCACTCTGGGGGTGGGGGTGTTAATAATGGGGAAGCTATGTATGTATAGGGTTAGGGGGTATATGGGAACCGTTCATACTTTGCAATCAACTTTGCTTTTAACCTTAAACTTCTCTAATATATGCAGTCTATTTTGAAAAATTTATTCAGTATGGAAGAGTCTGCTGAAGAGATGAAAAGATGTAGGCTAAGACATAATAAAGGTCTGACTTTCCTAGTAAAATATTTCCTGTGTTTCTAGGCTCAGATCATTAGGCTTTAATCAGATCAATGAGAGAATGCTTGTGTCAGTTTTGCTCTATTCCCCGTGTCTGTCATTCTGACAGAGTACCTAGAACATGGTAGCTGCCCAATAAGTATTAATAAAATGAATGAATAAATGAAATGCCTCCTGTTCCATGGAATTTTCCCTAATTACCCTTAAGGAGATTAAATCATTCCATTTATGTTTCTCAGGTACATTTCTTGTTCCTTTATTTTATTTCATGTTTCATTATATATTTGCATGCAGCTGTCCCACATTTCCCTCCACACATCTAAATAGATATCGTATACACACACACACACACACACACACACACACACACTAGACCGAAGTTCCTTGAATACAAAGAGTGGGCTTCATTTATACCTTTCATCTGCAAACACTTAGCTTGGGTGAACATTCATACATACTTATTGAATTGAGTTTACTTTGTTTGCTATGACCAGTTTAAAATTTCTTATTTAGTTGTAATTACATAGCAAATACAAAGTTATTAGCTATTAAATTAATATGAGATAAATGTACTTATTAATCTAATTAATACCTAACAAGAACTGGCGAGAAACTGTTCTATATCTAGCTGGTACTAAATTCTGAAAAAGCGTTTCATATGCTATTTGTAATCTCAGGGCCATTGTTTAGTGTTATGTGCTCAGAAGCCGATTTGATTTCCCTGTGGAAATTTTCCTAAACCAGCAGCGTGCATGTGAGGTGGAAAGATTACTGAACCAATGGGAATCTGGAGACTGGGTTCTACTTAGGTCCCTGAGTTTAGTGAATTGTATGGCCAGTGGTAATTCTTTTCATTGTCACGACCTGAGGTATCTCTTCTTAAACAAACAAACAAAAAATGAACTAGATAATATGTAAGAACATTCTAGCTCCAATATTTGTTGTCATTTAAAGCTCTTAGAAAATCTAACTGGATCCCTAAATGACAGGCCAGTTCTCTGCTCATGCATTTTTCTGGCCACAAGATGGCGGACTTTGTGTTGTTTTCTTCATCCTCTAACAGTAAAAAGAAACTTGACCTTCTTGTAGTTTTTTTAAAACACCCAATTCCTTAAAAAGTCTGATAAATGTAACACGGACTTTACATTCTAACTTTTCAAAGTGTCTTAAATGCTTTGGATTTTCACAATAAAGATTTCCTCTTTTGTGTGGGAATACTGATTTAGACTGATTTCTATACAAATGCAAATATCCCGTGATGAGATCAAAGCGTCTGTAAGTATTTTCATTTGTTTTCCTTTTTCCTTACATAGTCAAAGACAGTGCTGTTGGAATTCAAAATTGATAAAAACTTTTATGTGTGACTGGATAGAATTTTCAAAATATACTGTCACTCTGATATTTTTAGCCCTTGTCCTTGACACTGCCCAAGCATCACAACTTCCTTTGAGGCTACTGAGTTTCAGGATTTTATTTGAGGCAGAAGTAGCAAGTCAAAATACATCTACTTCATGAACCAAATTAGGAATTAGAAACAACAATATTTGCACTTCAGAAATTTGATGTAATTTTCCTTAAAATACATAATCTATCTGCTATAAGAAGATTCATGACCCTCCCAACTTACCCTGGTCAGAAGCTCATTCATTTCCGACACGAGCGTGTTCAGATTGCCTTCTGCCAATTGAATGAGCCTCTCTGGGGCCCGCTGAGGTGAGAGCAAGTGCTGAAAAAGATGTCATTCCACATACATTTTAGTAAAAGGTTTTGCAGTGATCATGGGGTTGCACATTTAACACAACAGTTTTCCTTTTTATACAAAGTATTTCACCATCTCACCTTCAAACGTAAGATAAACCATTTCAACTGGGCACATATATATGAAGTGCTATGCAAAATATCCTGGCAAGCAATGCAAATTGCAGTCATTTATTGAAAAATTACTACGTGCCAGGCTTTTTTTCCCCACTTAATTCTTACAACAATTCTATGAGGTAAATGTTATTTTGTTTTGTGTCTGAGGAGACTCTGGCTCGAAGAAAGTTAAAACTTGCCCAAGATCACATGGCCAGTAAGGGGCAGAGTCAAGATGAACTGTCTGATTGTTCAAGGCTCCCATTTCAACCAACAGAGATACAGTTTACAGGAAAGAAAGAGAGGAGGGGCCTGGTCAGGCACTCACAGAGGGGCCATTTTCTTCTGTTGAACACAGTCAATGTCACAGAACAGTAACATTAGACAGGGTCACCCTGTGACAGTGATGAATGAAAGAAAACAAGGCCACTCCATAATCTTCTCTAAGCACAGACAAAGCCATGTTCTCAAAGGTACCAAAAATCCATTTGCTGTTGAATCTGAGTGACCTTTGGTCATTACAGCTTTAGCCTCCCTGTGTTCTTCCCTCCTTCTCCATAAGATTCATTAGAATAATCCATTACCTCCATTTCCTAATAGCACCCAACCCAGCCCAAACCCCTGCCTTCTTACAGCTGCCCCAGAACACCCAGCACAAACCCAATACTCAGAGTCATTTCTATGACCTTCTTAAGGAGACACACCCACATGCTCCATGGTGGGCAGTGTCCCTTGTTGCAATGAGCTCAGAAACACAACTCTGTTCTCAGCGGTCTCTGGCTGGACACAGGGAAAGGAAACAAACAAGGAGGTAAAATAATTTGCTTACCATTTTAAAATATCAAAATAGGATCCCAAGGATCCAGGTATTAAATAAATTGTCGAAGAAGGACACAAACCCAGAATCAAGGAAGACTGGAACTGAAGGAAAATCAAGGTGGTGTTGACCAACACTCAGCCAGCCCTCAGGAGGTAGAGGACTGTATCTCTTGGCTCAGGTAGTGGCCACAGATTAAAAGCTCTTCCATTAGGGCCTTTCGCTACTTCATCCAGTGCTTATGTAGTATTTCCAAAATGGTTTATATCCTACTGAAGTATTTGCTTTTCTAGTTCAATCTCCTTTCTTTGTATTCCTCCCATGCAGAGTAGTCCCCCCTCATCCATGGGGGCTATGTCCCAGGACCCCCAGTACATGCCTGAAACTGCTGGTAATATCGAACCCCGATATACTGTTTTTCCTTCTGCATATGAGCCTAGGATAAACCTTAATTCATAAATTGGGCCCAGTAAGAGATTAACAACAATAAAATAGAACAATTATAAAGATATGCTGTAATAAAAATTATGTGAATGTACTTTCTCCCTCTCTCAAAATACGTTACTGGAATGTAATCACCCTTCTTGTGATGATGTAAAATGATGAAATGCTTACATAATGAGGCACTGTGGCATAGCATGAGGCTACTATTGACCTTCTGATGACAAGTCAGAAGGAGAATCATCTGCTTGTGAACCAAGGTTGACTGTGAGTAACTGAAATCGTGGATGGGGTGGGGGGGGACTAAGGAAAATTACCAGTCAGCATCTTCCTCATTAAAACTCCCATTTCTGAATATGAGGCCTACAAGGTAAACTCGGATTCCTCTGTCTAGCTTTCAAGGTTGTCCTTCATATCACCCTGCCCCACTCAAGTTTCTAGCCTTATCTTTTATGAGCATGCCTGCCTTCTCGTGTCGGACAGAGAGGCCCTGTGAATTCACAGCTCCGTCTCTGCTCGCACACTCTCTTCTTCGACTCAAGGAAGGAGTATGAGCCCAGGGCCAGGGAGGCCTTATCGCTGGCAGGCTGGGCTGGGCCTTTCCAGACAAGTTACTTTCTCTTTCTGAGCTTGACAAAGGTAGTTTCATTCTCCCCAGCCCTAATGTCATAGGGCCTCTACTCAAATCCTGGCTCTGCATTTAGTAGCCATGTGATCTTATGTCTCACATTAACTTTTCTGTGTTTTGGTTTCCCTACCTGAAAAAAACAGTACTTCTTTCCTACCTCTTGGAGTTTCTAGAAGATTTATGTATGATAATTCAAGTAAGACTTTAGTCAGTTAATTGCTTTGCACAGAGATACTCATCAATAAGTGTTAGTTATTTTTGCTGTCATCATTATTGGCTTCCTCTTCTGGAAAATAAGAATAATAATACTTGCCTTGAAGGCCATGGTCCAGATTACAGAATATACTCCCTAGAAGAGTATCTGCCAGTGTCTAGTGAATAAATCTTAGATTTTTCCTCCAGTCCTTGCCAACATTTCTCTGCCTATTAAATTGTGTCTATTCTTCAAGTTCCAGCACAAATTACACTCTCATTAATAATGCATTCCCTGGTTTCTCCGAATATTACCTGTTTCTCCAATCTTTGTACAATATTGTAAGTCAAAAATTTATAAAATACATGATGATTATCCTGATTGTTAAATTATTGCTTTAACCACATAGACTGTAAGCTTCCTGAGGGTAGTGACCACAGTGTAGGAGTCATGAAACTCCCAGGGAACCAAGTGCAATACCGAAACATTCCAGAATTTCTCCAAAAATACCTGATCATTGACGGACAGTGAATCGGGAGTCACTTTCCATCTTTTGTTATCAGATGAAGTCCCAATTTCCTTAACATTTCCTCCTCTCCCACCCAGTACCGAAAGTTTTAACAATGTTTTAGAATAGTGTTTTTCAAATTAGTTCTCGTTGAAGTGTTTTCAAAGTTCTGCTAGCTCTCTAGTACAAAGTTTTAATTTTGTGTTTCATTTTGACAGGAAACTTAAATGTTAATGTAAGCATTTCTGGAACTCAGGCCGGGCACCCGAGAGATGGATATGGCCATCTGATCTCAGCGCCTACTTCCGCATGCATGTCTGATCGTATGGCAGATTGAACACATAAATCATGTGACCTTGTCAAGTAATGCCAAATGTCATTTTAGGACCCCTTGCAAGGGGCTCTGTAGTTCATACTGTAGAATGGTAGGAGTTATATGTAATATACATACTGATGAAAGAACCTGTGTGGAAGTAGTCAGGGTCATATTCTTGTTGCAAGCAGCAATTTGCTCTCAGCAAAAATCATCTGTTATTTTATATTAATGTTTTTAATTTTAATTTTATTGTTTTTAGGCTTTTGTAAGGATTTAATGTGTTTTGATTTTCTTGAGCTGTAAGTATAGGAACTATACCTGATTTTATGTTTGTACATATTTAAATAACATAATAAAGCTGATTTAGGCCAAGTACTGAGGGTACATAAGCCACCTTCCCTTAACAGCAATCTGTTATAGTTAATACTCAAATTTGAAAAACACTGGTTTAGAAAGTCTCTGAATTTTCCTCCTGGTTGCTTGCCTTGATTTGGGGTGAAGGGAAGATTTACTAATTCTGGTCACTACCCCTTGGGAAGCTTCTGTCATCTTTTCCCTGGCTCTTGCCATGACTGCTCCAACCTACCTTTAGTTCTTGAGTCATATTTTCGAGACCATACAGCATTTTATATGGGGCAGGTAGTGGGCCAGTGAGGTTGATACTCATGGCCATCTGCTCTAGGCGAGCCAAGTCACCGAGAAGAAGGCCTGTGCATTCATCTCCACAAACTGTGAAAGGGGAAACGACATAGAATAATTACTTCTGTTAAACATCCCAGGCAGATGTTCAAAGATTTCAGCTATGAAATATTTTATCGCCCACGTATAATTCCGCAAGAGATGATGCCACTCATCTTAGATAATTAACGCTTTCAAATGGATCACGGTTGGAAAAAAGAGGAAAAGAACAACAGGAGAGCAGACATGCCTGTTGGCCAGAAGCTGAAATAGGGACAGGGACATAAGTTGAGGAACCAAAGAGGAGGAGCAAATGGATTTTGAGGGGAACGAGCATATAACAGAAGTATGAGAGGTAAGACATGGGACATAACATTATAAATGTTCCAGCAATTCCCCCATAAGCAATCTAGAGGACCTCTGTAACTAGAGGATAAAACATGCTCCCATGTCTAAAACTGTATGCAAATAATGTGCTCTACTGCAGTGCACTGGAGAGTGTCTAGAGCAATGGGGTCTCCCCATGTTTCACGGTACCATGTAGGCTGTATATCCCAAATTTGTACAACTTTTCCACTTGACAACTACGGAAAAGAATAATTTTTAAAAAAGATAAGTCAAAAGAAAGAACTTTTTATAATTTGTGTTTCTTTGGCTCATGATATATATGTATTTATTTACTTACTTACCGACTTAATTGCCAACTTTTCCTCTTTAGCCTTTCAACACATTATCGCCCATCATTACATGTACTCCCACAAATTCCTGCTTTGCTAATTAACCTCATCCAGCCTTGTGGATAAATAATTGCTAAGGGCCAGGAAGATGTTATTCCGTAAGTAGCCAGAAGTGCTAATATTCTATGTATAATCTTTTCGATAATTAGAAAGAGGGAGTATTCAAACTTGGAGTGGTGGAAGGGGGCTGGTGGTAGAGTTAGTAGAGAGAAAAAAAATGGATGGTTTTTTTCATTATTAGATTAATTTCATAAACAGTAGAATTTCTAAGATGAAAATACATGAATTATTTTGTAGGATTTTAAATATATACATATTCAGTTTGAAGTTTTTAGTTCCTTTTTTTTTTAACCCTTTGCAACAGAGCAATGAGGTGTAGCTTCTCCATGCCAAGGAGCATGTATTACCATATTTATGATATGCATTCATGTAGACAGTTATCATTTCTAGCATATATTCAGCAGAAAGAGGTATCAAAACTATGCACAATGAGAAGAGAGGTAAATGCATAACATGGCAAATACCAAGATTTGGAGTAGCTTTGGACCATGCCCCAAATTGGCAAGAATTTAATTAGTCCTCTAAAATAGCACTCCCCTGAGCTGCCTAATGGAGAAAAAGTTACTAACTAAAGCTTGTAAACAAAGAGAAGTAGTACAGAGGGTGATTTTTTTGATAGGACAGCAGTTAAAGGTGAGTTACAAGATCCCTTCACAGGGATTCAACTGCCCCAGCAGGGCTTTCAGTAAATCAGCTCCGTACAGGTGATACCTGCAACTGTAGAGTGTCCCCTGCAGGAGCTTCACCAGCTGAGTGAACAAAGAGGCTTTGGAGGCAGGAGCCCAAGTGTAGAACTAGAGCTGTATCCTCTTCCTCTTCTGCTAACCGGAATGAAAGGGAATTTGCTCTACATGGAAACTCAGTGAAAACAACAGAGCGCTGTGTCTTCCTGCTCCCAGTTCAATGGGAGTGCTTGAGAAACTTTAACACACCTGTCTACATGAAACATTTACAGAGAACACAACCAGCAACATAATTAGGTGCCGAGTTGACTCTGTCTAAACATCAGAACACAGTCTGGTTCTCAAACGCTAGTGGGTCTCAGAATCATCTGAAGAATTTTCTTAAATCACAAAAGACAGCCACCTGGCTGTACATTAAAATCCTATGGGGGTTTATAAAATACAGATGTCCAGGTACTTCCCACCCCCACCTTCAGAGCATCTGATTTCTTGGGTCTGTGGTAAGGCCTAGGCGTCAGGATTTTTAGATTACAGAGGATCCCATCATACAGCTAGGGTTTAGAGACACCATTGCAGATGGTAAGCTTTAGGGATGCTCAATGCTAAAGATGAAAGTCGTCATTTTGCTTGTTGTCTCCTCTGCCTCGGGTACTTCTCCCTCCATCTTGCCCTATGCGGTTCCTGGATATTCAGGTCAAGGGCTTAAGTGGTACTTCCTCGGAAGGGAAGGCCATGATGACTCAGAAATGACTGTCTCCAGCAATCACTATTGCATTCCCTTGGTCTTGTTATCTTAACACTCATGTGTGTGTATGAGCTCCCTTATTACTTTGTTTATATATTACTTCTTCCACACCAGAGAAGAGATCTTAAAAATCTTTGGTTACAGTATTTAGCATAGTGTCTTACACACAGTAAACATAGTAAAAAAATATGTGCTTACGACTATCTTTGTGAAAGAAGAGCAAAAATATTTTGGAGAAGAGCAGAGTGTTAGAAGGAGAGAACAGAGAGAGGGAGAGGGGGAAAGGGAGGGAGGGAGGAAGGGAAGGAGAGAAGAATGGTCAAACAGGAAGTGTCTAAATGGGAGAACATGATAACGAGATAGGAAATGGAGAACAACACAGATATGTGAGGAACAGGAGAACACAATAAAAACAATGGTAAGAGAAAATTGTCTTGTGATTGGAGAGGCAGAGATTGAGTAATGTCGGGATATGGCTGTTATGATACCCACATAAAGTAATTCAGATTTTTGTTTGTTTGTTTTGAGGTAATTCAGTTTCAACTCAGGAATGAGTTATTGGAATGGAGGAAGGGATGAGAAGAGAAAAGATAAGAGATGTTATCAAGAAAGAACAACACAGATGGGTCACTGACCAGATAAGGGCAATGCTCAGTTCTGGGGTGGATTAAAAATGGTCACCACTTCCTTGCTGTTCTCCCATTAAGAGGTAGAGCTTTATTTCCCTCCCCTTACATTTGGGTTGGATTTATGACACACTCTGACCCAAAGAGTGTGTCAGAGGAATACTGTGTGACTCGTCAGCCTCAGCTTCAAGGGGTTCAGCATTTTCTGCTTTCACATTCTTGGAACTCTGCTGCCTTATGGATAATCCCAAATGAGTCTTCTTGAGGAAGAGAGGCAGCTGTGAGCAAGAGAAAGGCAGGCCCGACAACTCCAGCTGAGGCCCCATCATGTGAATGGGGCTATCTGCGCCTCCCCAGGCATGACAACAAAAGAACTATCCATTGGAGCCCAGCCCAGTCTGTCAACCTACAGAAACTTGAGGATATATCCAGTTGTTGTTTTAAGCTATTGAATTTTGGAGTGACAGCAATACATAACTGATACACTTTCCCAAGTTTTGCAGGTGTAATTTAGAGTTCAAATTCAGATCAGAGACTTGCAAGTGGCAATTCACAGGCTAAGAACAAGTATTAGCAAAAATTCTTAACTTTATTAAAAGTTAGGAAGGATACAAAGGTTCCTTTTCCACTGAGGCCAACTTTATCATTATTATAAAGTTCCATTCAACTTCTAGTGAAGATGGATTTCGGGCAGATGTTCCCAGGATGTAAACAAAAAATATGTTCTTTTTACTTTCAAAATCTTGAGCGATACTTCATAATAGGACGTCTCACCATGCTATTTAGGGCAGTGTGTTCTTCAGGAATCCTTTGCTAGCCCTTTTGCTAATGTATTTATAATTTATTACCTACTTATTTCCAAGAAGAAATTGAGTCAGCTTACTGACAATAGTGTGGCTAGAGGTTCCTTACTGGTGGCTCCAGAAATTTCCAGGGAAAAGTTCTCAGATTTTACTTCATATAAGAATAAATCAAGCACTGGAATGCAGAGCTAGATCTGATTTACTGTAATACACTACAGAGTAAATTGGTGAACTAGAATGCCAAGAGGCATGATGAATACTGATTTTTCTCATCACTTATTCTATCCCCTGCCCATCTGTTTTGGTTCCTCATCTTCAGTTGTTGAAATAAAATATATTTAATTGCTCTTTCAAGGACCCATACATCCCAATTTATGTTTCTGTTCCAAAGATCTATTATTGTCCCATGTCTGATGGTCTCTGTATTTGCTTTTTGAGGAACAAAGTAGAAGCACATTTCTGTAAGTTAAAGGTAAGTTTTACAGTATGCTCCAAGTAATATACTAACATCTGTCCAAATGGGTCAGAAAGACTTATGGATATGACAGCCATGGGGATTTTCCTAAAGCTTCCATATAAGTTTAGTTCATGCGGTTAGAAGATACACCCACGAGGAAATGTGCCTTTTACATAATCGTTTGCTATTTTATTCTGACACAAAATATTTTACATATACCGTAAGCTACTTTTATTTGTCCTCAAAAAGTCTAAAGTGTCTGGCAACAAACATGGATGCAAATTAAAACCACATTTAATTCACTATAAGAGGGAAGATTTGAAGAGTGTACAGAGACATGGAATATTCACATTATGTAAACAGTTGTTCTTTGATAAGTGTGCAGTAACTGCTCAGTGTAAATTAACACCTATCTTATAATCAGGACCCCCAAAGAACCTCTTCCAACCATTCTATTCAGAAGAGATAAGGTTATAAAGTGAGATCCTGGCTAAACTGCATGGGAACAAAAGCAAATATTTCAAGACTATGTTTATATTTTACATGACTAAATGTTTCTGAGGCTTTGTCTATAAAAGTGTCAGGATAAATTTGTGTCTAATATTAACAAATGCAATACTAAATTCAGATCGTTATAGCTGGGCACATGTAAGGGACAAATCATGCAACTGATATTACAGATCTTTCTGTTAGCAATTAGTACAAAATACTGCATTTCTACCAGAGTCCCCCATGCATAATAACTACTGGTTTACTGTCACAAAAAATTCACACACTACGTCCACACCAAAGAAGCTGAAGCTGAAATGAGTGCATTGAGTATTTTTGAAAAGGCCAAACCCATTAACCAATTTTAGGTAAAGATACATAAATTGTCTGCCCTAATAAAATAGGGATGAATGAGTAAATATACATTTCTAAGAAAAGACAAAATTTGTGT